CTGACAAATGGGTGCTGACAAATGGGTGCTGACAAATGGGTGCTGACAAATGGGTGCTGACAAATGGGTGCTGACAAATGGGTGCTGACAAATAGTAGCTGACACAAGTATAAAGACTGGTAGGGTTGTTGTTGGCTGCAAGCCATGTCAGGATGACAGGCAGCCTCAAGGAAGAAGTTGTTGCTGCCGAGAAGCCAGCGCCCAAGGCTTGGATCAAATGGACTGACCTCAATGGCGTTCCCATACCTACACTTGAGACCAGCGTTCAACCAACACGGAAGGACTGATGGTTCTACGGATAGGTCCGAGCTGTCAATCTAAGAACTACATACGAACTGTCGTCGATACATGCAGCATCCTCATTATGCTGGTTGCATGGCTGGAACGACGGCCAACACAATTTGGCTTGAGATGGAGCATTTTTAGCGGCGTTAAAGGCATGGCTCTGGTGTTAGGGCAAACACTGGGCACTACAGACTCCAGACGTAGAATCGATCACACTTTACCAGCGATCCTTGGTAATTGTACCGCTTGCTATGTTGTCCACCACGAAATTCTCCCTTACAAGTCATCACAACCCAATTGATTCAAAGCAGTACGCTTTGATCGTGACTGACAGCTCGATAACACCAATTCAGAAGCACATTTGGAGCTTGTAGTCCTGCGGACGACCTTCCTGCGCTGGTACATCCAATATCAAGCGGCCAGACGAGAATTGAGCGATCAAAGATGCCGTGCCGTACCGTGTCTGTGCACGCAATGCGCATGTTCGCGCAATGCGCACCCATCATCAACATCACTACTTTGCAAAATGAGGCTGTAGAGCCACACACAATAGCTATTATTATGAGATTTCTGGGTGGAGTGTTCTATAGACCTATGTGACAAAGTTCCTCTATACAAACTAATTGTATAGAGTTGCAGTTTGGCCACTGCGGGTCTTGTGGGTGCAAGGTGCAGGTGCAGGCTCTGGCTCAACAACACCCCTACAGGCAGCCGCACCACTACGCTGCTTCTTCATAGGCTTTGCCAAAGGCTTTGAAGCTTTACGCTTGCCTGTTTGGGGCAATTGTAGAGCTTTTTGAGTGTTGCAAGCTTCTTTATCCTTGCGCCTTTGCTCTTTGCGAGCATCAATTGCAGCACACTCCTGCATGCGCTGTCTGTCACGCTCTTCCTTCTCTACTGCACGCTGTGCACGCTTTGCCTCCTCTTCTTGATGCTTGAGTATGCGATTGCTCTCTATCCTCTGATGCTTTGTAACTTTTTCTGCCTCTAATTGGTGTTGATATTTCTCAAATGCAGCTTCTCGTGCGTCTGCCATGAATGAGCAAATGGGGGTCAGGGTTAGGAAAAAAATAGTTGATCTTTTGAGGTCAGCTGATAGAACAGAGCTCCCTGAGCACAATGGTACCCTCTGCTAAGCTCTATATGCTATGGTTATTGTACTATTGCTGTTTAAAGTTGGGGTACCTGAGGTTGACAACCCAATTTGGTAAGGTCAGCTTTGAAAATGGACTAACCTTAAGTGTAATTTTGGTGACCCCCTGACCAACATCAGGTATTGCATCAGCACAAGGGCAAGAAAGCAATAGTCAAAGG